CCATTGAAGTATATGGAAATTTCATTGATCAGCAATTGACCAATGAGGTCAGTTCTTAATCATTTTTTTTCGAAAACGATATTCTGAAGCTATTTTCCTTTTGATTTAGACTTTTAGTAGAACTAATCGATAGAAAAAATTCTTCTCTTTCGATTTACACAATGTCGACATTTCTAGCTTGTTCCATTCGAGAATTATAAAACGTTTCCTAAGATCATCGATTTCAGTCAGTTGATCTATGATCATTCAGAAAAGCAGCTAGATAGGGCCAATTCATCGTACTGAGTCGAATGGTGATATTTGTTTCTTGGTTCGAAATTATCTGAAATATTTGTGAAATTCTATAATCAACCTTGCAACGAAGGAGTCAACATTTCTAAAATATTGAGAATACAATGTCAAATCAGTTCAAATCTAAGAACAAATATCATCATATGACTTAGCATGGTGAATTATCCCTGCCTAGCTGCGTTCTGGGATGATCATAGGTCAGTTGACTGAAATCGGGGTGGGTGTGGGTGGGGGTGTGTAGGTGTGGGTATGGGTATGGGTGGGGCTGGGTGTGTGGGTGTGAGTGTGGGTGTGGGTGTATAGGTGTGGGTGTAGGCGTAATACCAGAATACACTCACACCCACACACCCACACCCACACCTACACCCACCCCACACCCCACTCACACCCCAGACCCACACCCCACCCACATCCAGACCCACCCCACACGCACACCCTTCAATACTAATAACTTTTCTCCTTCAATTTATTCATGACCACAATATAAGCATACAAGTCCGCGAGAATCTTTAATAAATGATTTGGAAAGAATCGGCCGATGACATTCAGCACATCTAAAACAATCTTTGTGATATGCCTTGTTTTGAAAGGTGGTATATTTTGTATTATGTGGTATAGGTTTTCTACATTCGGCACATCGTTTAGCAAATAGTAGATCAGCGCTATGCCTACAATACAATTGTAGATCATGGTCAAACGCTGGTTCATTTTGTAGTAATTTACGACAATTTATACATTTAAAACACTCGACATGATAATCTCGTCTTTCAAAGACTATACTTGATGATAGAATAGGCTTTTCACATTCGGCACATCGTTTGGCAAACGATTCGCCATAGCAATCCATACAATACGGTTCCTTATTATGGCCGAACATTACTTTGTCTTTCAATAATTTATGGCAATTCGTACATTTAAAACATTCATTGTGATAAGCTCGTTTTCCACTGGTTACATCACCTGATAGAATAGGTTGGCTACAAGCATTACACATCTGAACATCTGTTTCACAATCGCTACACCATGGCTTCTCATCATGCACCGTAAACGAATGAGTGCCATTTAACTGACGATGACAAATGGCACATGTAAAACATTCTGCATGAAACTGTCGATTATTAAAACCAACAAAGTGGTGCGCATGTGGGTCAATAACTTGTCCGCATTCACTACATGGAACTAATATTATTCGTAATGACAAGTAGACTTTTTTTAAAGAAAATATCTACGCTGTGTGGTGGAGATGACTCTATGCATGTCCATAGGCTGTAGAATGTTTCCATTTCAGAGGAGGCTTTATATATTTCCTTTGAATAATGATGGAAAGATTAAAATAAATTGAGAAGCGAATTTTTAGAACCTGTTTTCAAAACCTTTTTCAAAAAGGATTTTCTGAATATATTCCTGTACAATTATCAACATTGCTATGCTATTGAAACTTTTGTACATTTGTCAATATAGGCGTAAAACGCTTAAGCCTTAGCTTAAAAAAATAGAAAAAAATCATAGGTACAAAATTATTTCTGACGCTCTAATATAAACTTTTCACTCTGATGTTTTGTTAAAACGTTCTTGTATCACTTGTAATCATAAATATACATTTGTATCATCCATAGCACTAAAGCATTCTATCTCTCACAGTCGCTATAAAATAAGAATGGTTACATGTAAGTTATCCTTGTTATCATTTAAGAACTTGATAATACTTTCAGTATTAGCGTCGTCACAGAGTGTGCGGGGTGTAGTTTATTAAACCTTTCTCTAGATTACTTCAACATCCACACCATTTCCTTATCATTTCAAAATCTTTCAAAAGTCATACGAAGAAAATTAGAAGAACTTTACGCATTCAATGCATTGATTATCCTTAACATAAAGAAGTCGTTATTAGTATTATATGAAACCATTTGAAGAAGACACAATTATCTAGCTATGTCTGACATCTAAGATCAAAATGAACGTTACTTTTGGAGAAACACCGAGTTATGGCTTTGTTCAAATGGTGTCAATACCAGAGCTTTCCAAGGCTTAATGGCTTCGCCACCTATGTTCATGTCTTTTATGATCCACTCACGACTTCTGAATTTATCTCGTTCAATCGAAACTTTTACGTTTTGTGACAACACCACAAAGCTTGCGGTACTCTCATCTATACCTTCTATGGCAGTGAGACTGTATCATACATATGGTCCAAGTGTGTTTAATTCTGCATACATCCTATTATCCTTCAGATTTATATACTTTTCTCGATAACGCACTACACATACTTTCACTGCAGTAATCATGTCAACATACCATCTCTTGTAATTATCTTCCAGGGATGTGTTTAATGTCCCTATAAAATCCCACGAATTCAATGTATTATTCTATTGCCATTGCTAGTAAATAAATCCACTAAATTTATCCATTGCTTCGTCTCTACAGAGTAACAATGATTCTGTTTGCACTTTCGAAAATACTTTTTGAAATTAAAAATTCTTTTTTACTCGAATTGGAAGTGGAAATTTTTCCGTTTCCGTACCTTTTTCTTCTTCTATTTTTCTACTAGTTGAGAAACAAACGAAAACTCATGTTTAATGTCTTATGCGCATAAAAATATCTATATAACCTTCTTAATATGTTTAGTCTGAACTTTTGTGTAACTTACTTGAATTTTCAGCCATTGGTTCTACATGTAGTTTTGAACGACGTCGACTTGAGGAAGCACGTTTTTTGGATGATTTTGAAGTATCTAAAACATAAGAGAAAGAGAGTGTGCGCATTCACTTACTTAAAGAGTGGGTTAATGGTGGATTTTCCTTTTAACTATACGTGGATTGATATATTCTCAATTACCAAAATGACGATAATTTATTAATAGAATAAATTTCTAGCAAACCAAACTTACTTTAGTATAGTCAAGAGTCTTCTTATATCATGTCAAACGTACCAAGATACAAAAGTACGATATATGAATACGATTCTACTCCTCTTCAGAGATTACTAGTTGTTAGTAGGGGTGGACCATTTACATTAATTTAAAATTAAGTTTAAGTTTTTGAACCGCCATGGTTGAGTGGTTACGTTGTTCGACACGTATCCACAAGGTACTGTGTTCAAACCTCAGTAGCACCATCCATGGAATGATCCTGGACAAGTCACCAACGGCTATGTTGTCTCGAATGACTCATTCGTAGCGTGCTGAATATATTGTTAGTCAGTACGTTAGACGGGAGGGGTGCAGATACCACCGTCTGTAAAAAAGAAAAAGACGATAGAAACCGGCTGCATGTGGACCCTAATAATAATCGCAGCTGGCTCCTACGGGCGATAAGCCTATGGAAGATTATTATTATATTATTGTTATTATTATTAAGTGTTAAGTGAAAAACTTAATTAAGTTCATTAATTAAATCTCGCTAAAAAAAATGTCCCACTCCTAGTTGTTAGTGTCAACAGATAGCACTAATTGTCTTTAATCCTTTATTGTTATTTTTCTCATTATTTTGTCCGTTCATTTTGTTCTATTCACAATGTGTATTTTCTCTTCTCTCTCATTTCTCTCTCCTCAACTTTTCTGACCTTTGAGTTCACTTAGTCATTTTCCCTTCTGTTGGCAAGACACATCTTCTTTATATCATTCTTTCTGGTTATCACTCACTGGATTATTTTGTCACATTATTGTCCACGTACACTTAGTGGGTAATAAGCTAAACCTCGCGAATATCCAAGTATCATCAGCACAAGTTAGTTTGCCTCTCCAAGTAGTGAACTCCTACTTGATTTCTCTTAAAATATTATAAACGTAAGGTTATACAAATTTAACATTGCCATCAAGTCGATTCAAGAAGTTTCTTACTCTAATCATTAAGATTGTCCTTTCAATAGAATAAACTAAGTGTTTTAATTAACTTACCTATAGATTCCTTTGGTTTACTATTATTGGACGAAGAACTTAATGGAAGCTTTTTCTTTAGTTCACTTGCTTTTTGACGCCATTTCAAAGACTCCTCTTGATGACCAGCGTGCAATTCAATTGTGGCCAATTCCGTATACAAATCAATAAGTGTTGGATCATCAAGTGAAAATTGATTTCACATACGCTTATAATACTTTTCCGCGAAATTTGGCTTTGCCATCTCTCACAAAAATTTTCCTAGGATGAGAAGGTTTGTTTCGTCATGCACAAATTTCTCTTTCATGTCCATGAGAACTTCTTTCAAAATATGTTCTTCATCATTACACAGTCTCATTCGAATGATCCAAACTTGGTCAATATCATTACGCTTAACTTTGTCTAATCGAAAAATCGAACCGATCATGAAGAGTACTTCAGCTTCATCTTCATATTCGCTCAATTCTCCAAGAGCAGCAAATGGTTTCATTATCGCCATTTGAGGATTCGCGTCAATTTCGAATAATACACTAGCTAAGTTTTCTGTATCATCAGGTGTCTTAAGAAATTTAAGAGCTTTGTCTTTATAGATACTAGTAGAAAAAAATGAATTGATCGAAATGAATTGACCACATGAGTTCCTTAAAGTTTCTAATTCATTATTTGATATCATTTGACAACGATAAACTCGAATAGAATTGCGAACTTGACGATTTTTCAATTGTTGTTGAATATCAACAATATATTTACGAAAAAGAAATATTGCATGAATATCTGACTGATGAAGAGCAGCATTAAGTGTCTTGTAAAAAAATGATTCTCGCGTATACCATCGTAAAGCATTTTCAGATGAATAATCATCTTGAAATTCACCAATAGTACTGAGTTCAAAATTGTTACCTTTATATTTCTGTTTACAAAATTCTATCAATTCTTTTTGATCAGCTTCAGTATATTTTAGTCGAGTAAGGCAATCCATAAAGACTTATGAAAAGAGAAAATTATTATTTATGCCTGTTGTTGATACGCCTTCTGTTAATGTATTTGTTGTAAATATATTTATCGATAGATGTTCTCCCATCTTCTTTTCAATTTTATGATCAGCTTGGATCCGTTTTATAAGTTCGTTAAGTTCAACAACAACGCCTTTCACCTATAAACAAGAACAATAGTAAAATTAAACAAAGAGTACTTTCACATTGTATTTACTTTTCTATAGTTCTGAGTCCATATTTTATGGGCTACTTCATCCATACAATAGACATATATTGATATAACTTGTCGAAGAAGATGAATATTAGGAACGATTTTGTGTCCTAATTGACCACTGACAACCATAACAATTCGTTCATTCGAAGTCTGTGCTTTAATATATTCCTCACATTCATCAACATCTTGAAATTTTGCCAAATGATTTAGGGTGTGGGTGTGGGTGTGGGGTGTGGGTGTGAGTGTGGGTGTGGGGTGTGGGTGTGGGTGTGGGTGTGTGTGTGGGGTGTGGGGTGTGGGTGTGGGCGTGGGTGTATAGGAAAAATATCATGCACACCCACACCCTATAGTGTCCTTTTTCAATTAAGTTTTGTTCTTTATATATTGATAGATATCTATGCAACTGGACAACCATTTTTAGCGCGTTTCTGAGTCATTACACTTGTGATCCCCTTTCTCCGCTAAAAAAGTAAGAATTTTAAAAAAAGGACTCTGCGGTACCCCGCATCCTGACATGCAATTTCTAATGAAAAAAATAAACATATAACATGAGCCTGGGCCGAGAAATCCTTGTCTGAAAATGAGCTATTTTTGACCTTTGTTTGGTTTATATTTCGGCCAAACGTCATCGAATCGAGCTGAAAACTTTACCACAGTCTCCTCACTTCAGCCCAATATATATGCTCCAAATTTCAGCCCGTTTGAATGCATCTGGACTGAAATCGATTTTTTTGAGGATGTGGGTGTGGGTGATGGTGTGCATGGGTTTAAGTGAGGGTGTACTGCTAACTCACGCCCTTACCCTCACATCCTTAAATATTAGTCTGTATATGTACATTACGTCATCATATAATTCAAAATCAAGAAATGGATGCATTAAATGAATGACGTCAATTTCATACACACACTAAAGTCGATGATCTGATTAGTGGACTTCAAAAAATTTATCATTTTGATATCATATAATTAACTCAACAAGACATCATCAAACCAAAACATATCGCACATATAGATCAAGAAGAAATTGATTTAGAAAAACAAGAAATCGAAGAATTAAGTGAGAAATTCTTTCGATTGTTCGACAAAATACGAAATGATACTTTTTCACTCGATGAGAAAGACACTTAATCATTCACTCAATTACAATAAAATGCGTTTTATCCATCATGTCCTGATCTCATTAAATATCACACATAATCTCCAATAAGAAAATATCTATATCGAATTACTTTATAAGACATTTTGTAGACTTTTGCATTGCCTTCAGTATTCGTACAAGTTCAGTTTTATACGAGTTTTTTGGTAAAACGAAAAGGATCAATGTAAGTATCATTGGTAATGATGAAATTATGTATGATGCAAGAAATAAATGTTTTTGCCATTGAATTTCAACACATGCAAAAGCAAACGAAAAAACGAGACGTGGTATTTCAAGAAGAATTAAAATGAATGGACTGAGAAGAAATGCTTTATATAGAGATAATTGTTGTCGTAGGATGTCAAGAGGACTCTTTCTTGTTCTAATATCACCTAATGCCACTTTACGACGGACCAGAATTATTAAAAGAACAAACATTGAAATGAAATTAATAGTAAAAGGTACAATTAAATGAAATAAATTGGTGATAATCTCATATAAGTTCATCCATTGTTGAGGATAATTAGCAACACACCAAAATACATCATTTCCATACTGAGAATCGATGATTAAACGTCGATGAAATGGTTTATGTAATGCACTAACAATATTGATAGTTATAACAACCAGAATAACAATCTTAGCGTAATAAACACTTTTTAGTTTATTAAATTTGATACCATGAGCAACTATGATTGTTCTTTCTACTGTAATACAAGCATTCAACCAATCATTGATCGATGGTAGAATCGATAATAAAAATTCCAATGAAATACAACAAAATGACAAAAATCTTTCATTCTTTGCACCGAAATAATTCAATCGTATTTGTAATACATATAGAAATCTTGCTCCGAAAACAAGAATTCCTAATTGACTGCTAATACAAGTTATCAGTAAATATCATCCACATCCTAACTCACGTGGTTTATTTTGTGCAAATGTGAGAATAGAAAGTCCATTGGCAACAAAACCAACAATGATAAGAATTACAACCATCGCAAATATCCAACGAATAATTGGCAATTGCTGAGAGAGTGATTTTCCAATAAGAATCTGTTGATCAAGTAGAGAATCTAAAGAGATAGTGTATTTGGTCATTGTGAATTGGCATTGATCTCCAAAATAACAACGAGGACATACACAAGCGAATTCAAAGTTAACTGTTGTTTGTATTGGTTGATAACATTGACCACCATTTAGACAGATTTGTTCAGCAGTTGAACAGTGACTCGCAGAATGATTGAATCGAACACAATCAAGAAAATCATTATTATCACAAAGACAAATGTAGAATTCATCGTAAAAGCATCGAGTACCAAGCACAAAACACGGACGATTATAATATTTAATACGTCTTATATATGGTAAAGACATAATAAATGAATCCAAGAATTCATCTATTCGAGAACAACGATTTGATGGTAGAATACTTGTTACAATATTCGATACTGATTTTTTCATTAGAGCAACGAGGTGATAGTATTTCTGATTGTTTGTATCGAAATAAATTTCAACAAACACAAATGTTGGTAATACTGGAGTTTTTGAAAAACTGATTATATTCGAACCAAGTGGAACATTCTTAAAAATATAACGATTGAAAATTGTTGCTAATCCTATTTGACTGGTAAGGTTTGCTAGATGAACGATGACAACAGGAATATGAGTTCTTGAGCGATCTTCAAGCCACATATTGTTCATTGTAATATTGATATAAGCCGATGACTTTTGGCAATATCGACCATGACACCCAGGAGGACATGCACAAATCACGTTATTAAATCTAAGATCTGCTGAAATACAAGTACCTCCATGTTGGCAATACGATGAATTACTGCAAACATCAATATGAGCATAACAATGTCGTCCAAAGAGAGTTAAAGGACAAATGCAAAGAGAATGAAATATTAATGATGAGGGTGAACAAAACATTTGTTGTCTTATCTGACAAAACTTCCCAGACCATCCAGGATGACATAGACAGAAGTATTTATTGATATGATTGGAATAAATTCGACATTGTCCATTTGCAGTGCAGATTTTTTCGCATTGACTTTTTGGAAATATAGGATCGGTAATAATCACTTTCGTAGCAAGTTGATTAACAGGTAGAAATGAAAAAGAAATATTATAATACAAAGATGAATGATACTCAACGCTCGTTTTTGATATCCGAAATATATCGATCACGATAGAATGTACCTCATATACTCGAGGTGCCCGAAGATAAACGACTTGTTTATAAATTGCTAAATCATCGAGTATTGTCAGATAATAAAGTTCAGTATAATCAAAAAACATGTTAGAGAATGTTTGAAGACGAATTAATAATTTATAAACAATATCTGATGATTGTTGTCGAGTATGTGATTGAATATTTATAACGATGGAAATTCGTTCGGATTGATATTCGCATGTTTGACCATAATACGGTGGTGAACATAAACATTGTTCACCATCTATTGACGATTTAACAACAATTCCTCGATGACAACGATATATATTCAGCGTGGAATTATTAGCAGCGCTGCATCGAACACGTACTTCTCGTTTAGTATTTATAGTCTGAACTTGAGATGTTACTGATGGATACTGACGATGATCATCAAGAGAAAATATTTTATAATGTGCTGGTTTTGTAACTAAACTACAAAATGTCTCATCAGAATAACTGTCTGCAAAACGATTTGAATCATAACAATTTGTGTAACGATCACATCGAATATGTTTTAGTGCACATGTACGTTCATTACAAAAATAAGTTCTAGTTGAACATTTTGTACTATTTATTCTGTTCGGACAAATAGTTTCATCATCATGATATGGACAATGAAAGATTCCATCACATAAATCTTGCAATGGAATACATTTCGAATCATTAAAACAATAAAATCTTGTAGTGACATTATTTGGATAATTTCTTGCACAATAATTAATATCTTCATCAACTCCACCAAAACATTCAATTTTTCCATTTTTTATCCATGATATTGGAAGACATGTTCTGGGTTTAGCTAGTGGATCTGGATATGAAATACAATCGATGCTGATTTCATTGTCTTGACATATTTTTGGGGAATTATAACAAGATCTTTCATCTAATTGATCAAAACAATTAATAATTCCATCACATTGTCGATATTTAAGATTACAATTACGTTGCCATTCATCACAATTGTTTTCATCTTCGATGAGTTCTGGATGGATTTGACCATTACATATTTCTTGAAAGAGAAAATATTCACTTGAAATTTGAAAACCACGTCGATGATGACATCCCATATCATTTCGTTGTTCACATATAAATGGGTATACTCTATCTGATTTATCTTTACAACGTCCATTTTTCAGGGCTGGTGATGCAGTCGGATAATAAAGGTCATCTCTTAGAATACAATCATTTGAAGTTAAACATTGAAAACGACTTGATAAATTTTTTTGACAAATATTTCCTTTATATTCTTCATCAGCAGCTGAAGTTGGACAATCATAGATAAGATCTCATACGCGATGAAAGGATATAGATCGATATGAATTTGGATATAAAAAAAGTTGTGATGAATTCCATCCATTTTGTGGTGATGGAAATGCACATGCAGAAAAAGTAAAATGCATATACGAAAGAAATTCAGCAAAACTAACAATGTCTTCTTTTCGAAAGAAATCAGTCGTCTTGCGACAGGTAAAACCAGATTGGTTTATGTTCGGTACATACAGATTACATTTATCATTATCATAACATGTTAACTTAGGTATTTTATCTCGAGTAGATGCATAAAAGAACCGAACATCCGGATAGAAAAGTGACGAATCGAATAAAAGAAAGTCTTGACATTCAGTCTGACATGAACTGTTAGAAAGCAGATTTTGACATTCTTTTAACGTAGGAATAAATGTTTCAAATGGAATGTCAAAAGGCTTATTTAAATAACAAAGTAGACAAGCTTGACAAAAATTCTTTGTTTTATTAACATAAGTCGACAAAAACCATTTATTTCTTCCATTTAAACAAATTCCTTCTTTTGTTGATTCATCTGTTGCATTCCTAACACATTCTCCATCACTACATGGATATGTGTTTCGAGATGTACAATCATATTCTTCACAATCCATTGAAGGATTACGAAAACAGTCCTCGAATGGGTTTACATCGACTTCATCACTCCCATCAAGACAATCCAGCGTGAAATCAAAAGCAAAACTTTTTTCAATACACATACCCGATTTACATCGAAATTCATGTTCAAGATCACATTCATTTAATTCTAATAAATGACGATGGATTTCGTCTTCTCCATCCTCACAATCGATCAAATCATTACAAATATGTCGCCAATCTAAACCAACGCCTAACGGTTGACAATTAATACCTTGATAGATCGTAAAAGTAAAGATTTTTGTTTCAATATATGGTTTTCGACATTGAAACTGTTCTTTAATAATATCATTGAAGTAAGATTTTGAAGACTGAAAAGTGTATTCACAATATGGACTAAACCATTGAAGATCAGAACAGATATAAAAGTTTCGATCAACGTCCAAATCACGATCAAATTTACCGTATGAATCGATAATATCGATGGGTACTTGCCAATGGTACAGTTGGTCGGTCGATATATTTTTGCTTTGTAATTCTGTGAATATTGTTAAATTACCATGATTATTACATTCCAAATTAATATGAGTGGATTCTGATTAAAAACAATAGGGAACTATTGCAAATGATTCTCCCATCAGTGATAAATAACTGTATAAACATGATCGATTTTGATCACTATTATACAGATGAAATTGTTGGCTATTTGAGGAATAAATCAATAATAAGAATATAAGAGAACTGATCAACATTGTGACTTTCGATATAAATGATTGTTCCTTCTGCCTTGCTGTATTATATACATACCAGATTTAACATGACAGAAAGTAATATAATTCATTGATTGACAAGTAAATCATTAGCTTTATTCAAAAATCTGTCGAGAAAATATGATTGAATGTCAATAAACATATCTTACTGCACGACTTTATTAATTCTGATTGTCAATCATTGGAGGGTGTGGGTGTGGGTCGGTGCAGTTGTGAGTGTTAGTGCAGGTGCCAGTATGAGTGGAGATTGAAGCATCCACACCCACACCCACATCCATTATGCGCTATATCTTTTTATGTAATAATTTAATCATTGGGTGATGGTATTTTTGATTACCAATTTTTTTTTCATTATTCATTTCATATTCTTTATTTCTTAATAAAGAGTGTGGATGTGGGATCTTCCCCACATCCGCATTTGCACATGCAAAAACAATTTTTTTTATTGCGGTGTTGAACTGTGTAAAAAAAGAAAAGTTTATACTGCTATTATTGTTTCATTTTATTGTATGTGTGACTTCTCTTAGTTTCGCTTTTGTACATAAAAACTAGGAACAAAGTGTCGTGTTATAAAAACTTGTTGTGAACATACTAGGGGCTGACCAAAAGTTCTGGCCACGACATTTAAAGGACCTCGTCGGATAAGGTGATCTATTCAGAAACCAGAAAGCTTGTCAGCGCCGCTCCTTTGTAGCTGAAATGTGGAACTCACGTATACCCCTTAAACTTGTTATCCTAATACATCATTTGTAAAGTAAAAAATCGTTTTTTAAATTATTATGAAACCATTGAAGTATTGTATAGAATCTGAAGGCTTTTGTACGGGGTTGCTAAGGTCTGTAATGGGAAGGTGTCTGTAATGGAGGGCTGTCTGTAATGGGGGTATGTCTGTAATGTTCTCTTTTATCCGTTGCTATGTGTCTGTATTGGAGTGGAGGGAGCCACCAAACCTCGAACTAAAAACTTACACTCACTACTTTCTTCGAAAACATACGTAAGTTCCACAAAATAGTATCTTTACAAAGAAAACAACAACAATAGATAGATAATAAATACAGTAACGAAAAAGTGAATATGAATATAGTAAAGAACAGTCAATTTATAATAACAAAGCAGATGGAATTTTTTTTTATCTAACTTGTCCTCGTCATCTACCTAAAAGTTCCGAACTAGTTTTATTTAGAAGTGACACATTTACTTTACTTGTTTAAAAAGTAAATAGGTAAAGTAAATAAAATATTCACCTTTACTTTAGTAAAAGTAATTGTACTATTTACCATTTTCTCTAGTAAAAGTACATGTGCTATTTACTATTTAGTTTAGTCAAATAAATATATTATTTACTATTTACTTGAATAAAGTAAATATATTAAAATAACGTATACATAGTCTCAAAAAAAAAAAAAAAAAAAAAAAAAACACTATACTACATGTCTGTGTCTTCTTGAATAGACATGTACCAATATAAATACGGAACTGGTATTGATCGATATTGGTATTGTAACATTCCTATTTTTTCACTAAAAAGCGTTTTCTTGTGAAGAAAACGATTTTTTACAAGGCTTGACTGCAGGTAATCGAGGTCGAAAAATTCAAATCTGCCATCAGATTCTCAATATTTTGAACTTGATTTTATTCATGAAAGAATTGGTTTTTTGAGAAAATAAGGATTTCTTTAAAGGCTTAACCAAAGGTGATCGAAGTCGGAGAATCAGAATCTGTAATGGATTCTCAAAATTTTGAACTTATTTTCTTTCACAAAAGAAAAGTTTCTTAAAAAATTAAGAATTTTTTAATAAGAGTTAAGTAAAGGTAATCGAGGTCAGACAATGCAAATCTGGCATTAGATTTCCAAAATTTTGAATTAGGTTTTTCACAAAAGAAAGAGTTTTGGTGGAAAATTATGATATCATATTAAGTTTGACGAACGGTGGAAAGGATAGGTTTACTTGAGAATGAAACCAAGAGCAAAATTTTGAGAATCTGAATGCGAATTCGAAATCTCTGACGACGAAAATCTTTAGTAAAATATTGAGAAAGATTGGTTGTTTTTCTCAAAAAGTCCTTTACTTAGTAAAAATATTAGATGTATAACTATACAAATACCATCAATATGAATACCATTCAATATTAATAGAATCAATGCTAACACTTGAACAGTATATGAGTTGTGTTACATGTCTAGTGCTGAAAAAAAAAAAGGATTTTAACCTAATGGTAATTGTCAAGCGAAGTATTAACACGTTACATAAAGGAGTTGAGTATTAGCTATTGGTCTTTTTTCTATGTAATATTATACTACTAGCGAGAGCCCGTGCATACCGCACGGATGCTTTTTTTCCTGTAAAGTTTCACATCTGTCCTTTGGCCTTGATTGGGTAATAGACTAGTGGCGGAGCCAGAAAAAATTTTTAGAGGGGGCTAAGCCCCCTCTAGCTCCAATTTTAAGACTGAAAATAAGTATGCTATTCCATTTTAATGCTAGGTCGTTTTCATCCTAGAGGGGGCTCAAAGGTTTCTAGAGGGGGCTCAGCCCCCTCTGGCCCACCCCTGGCTCCGCCACTATAATAGACAACCAGTCACTTCGCATTATATATATATATAGGACCTTCTAGTCTCATATCCTTGTACTCTTATATCCTTGTACTCTTATATCCTTGTAGCCTCATACTATTGTAGTATTACCTCTCATAGTCTTATTCCGTTATTTCCTTATTGCTTATGTCCCATGCAACCTTATCTACTTATATCCTATTCCCTTATTTCCTTATACTCTTTTAGTTGTATCCCTTATGCCCCTGTATTCTTAGTCTCTTATCCGCTTTACTCTTATATCCTTATCCTCTACTCTCTTATAGCCTCATGGTCCTTGTAGACTTATGGATCCCTCTATATAGTTGCCATTAGCGACCTATAGCTACCCCTATATAATAGCCCTTGACGGTCTATGGTTACTCTCATACAACAGCTCTTGAGGACCTATGGGTACCTCCATATAATAGCCCTTGACGACCCAGGGATACCCCTATAGGATAGCCGTTGAGGACCTATGGGTATCTCCACAGGATAGCTCTTGAGGACCTATGGATACCTTCATATAATAGTCCCTTGTGGACCCAGGCGTACTCCCATAGGATAGCCCTTGAAGACCTATGAATACTCCCATAGAATACCTCTTGACGACCTATGGGTACCTTCGTATAATAGCCCTTGACGACCTACGGGTATCCCCATTGGATAACCCTTGAGGACCCAGGGTACCCCCATAGGATAGCTCTTGAGGACCTATGGGTACCCCATAAGACATCGGTTGAGGACTTATGGGTGTCTTCATAGGATAGTCCTTGAGGAGCTATGAGTATCTTCATAAGATACCCTCGAGGACCTATGGATCCTCAATACAGTAGCCCTTGGCGCCTTCTCCTTATAGCCTTATTTGACTTTTAACCTTTGACCTTTCACCCGGCACAGACAGACACACACACACACACACACACACACACACAGACAGACAGACAGACAGACAGACAGATACTGAACATTATATACCGGGTGGGCCAAAA